CAGCTTGGAGCGTCTCACTGGGCTCGTTTTGCCTTCACACCGCACACGTGCTGGTCAGACTTGAGCATTTACTATCGCCCTGACAGAGCTGCGTAGCTCATCGCTGATGTCAGAAGTTGTGCAAAGCTGTAAGATCTTTAAAGTCTGTGTGATAAGGTACGCTGGAGGCTTGATTTTGTCCCGTTGCTCATTAGAAGGAAAGTTTAAGCATCCACGCAGTCTGTCGAAGAGCCACAGGATCCTCACCCTGAAGGCGAGCAGCAGGAGCTCGTCTTCGCCCAGCCGGGTCGGGGGAGGCAGCCGGCTGACGTCGCTGACCTGGGGAGCCGGGGCAAACAGCGTCAGCGGAGCCACAGCAGCGCGGGACGGGGCTTCGGGGCTTTGGTATCTCCCCAGCAGATGAACCTGCCCCCGTGGCAGGAGCCCGTGGAGGAAGGGAGCTGCCACGCACCCTGCCTACCGACGTGGATCGCGGCTTCCCTCCCTGCGGCAGAGCCAGGGTGACCCTCGGGGCCGTGGCCAGGGACACCGGGGACCTGCCCGGGAGCGCCTCCCACACCTGCAACCCCTTGCAGAGAGCCAGGGCTGCCAGAGCTGGTGAGCTCTGCAGCTGCATGGGGACCGAGCACAGGTACACCTCCACTGCTTGCTGGTTTGGGGGGCAGGACCATGGGGCAACAAGGGGAGCACCCGCTGCGGGATGAGCGCGCTTCCCCACGGATGGGAGCTTCCCTGGCTGCCCTGCTCCCGCTGCAGGGAGCGCCTTTGCATGGAGCTGCCTGTGCGCTTGAGAAATACCTGCACTTTGGTTCCCACGTTGAATTTTGCTTGTTGCCCCATGGCGAGGAAGGAAACGGTGATCTTGTCCTGGCCCAGGATCCTGACTCCCACGTGCCGGTTCAGGGAGATGAAGATGGGGCTCAGCGGGACGTGGGGTCCTGATGACACGATGCTGTTGGGCCACGTCCACCTTCTCACCCTGCTGCCCTCTTGGTCCAAATACTGCCCTCCCTGAATATTCATGTTTATCCTAAAAGAGCGGAAAATCAAAGCTCTGCACCGTGCAGCTCCCAGGCCTGGTCCCTCGTTCCCCAGAGGGACAGGACTGCGGTGCAGCTAGTTTGGGATCTAACCCCCACCTCAAGACGCATCTGGGTAGCCTTGCTCTTCTGGAAGGCACCCGAAGCAGGGCCCACGAGCTGCTATATTTGTCTTTTAATTTTTGAATGCTATTAAAAATACCCTTTATGACCTTTGAAATTTAAAATGCGCAGTGGAGAGCAAAACTGCTCTGAGCAACGTGAACATACCACACAGCTCCGTTTGGGTAATAGCAAGTACTTCTGCCATTGGACTTAAATACTGCTTGTATTGCGGCGTTACTTGGCTTGTCTTCCTGTACTATGCAAGTAAGCCGGTTTTTCTGTCGTACAACAATGATTGCCAGATTTCCAGATGGATAGCTGTTGTCAGATAAGGTGTTCGTAACCCCTTTGTGTGGTTGGTCTATTATTACATACTAAATATTTCAGAGCGCTACTTTGGAGTATAAAAATTGACATATTACTTAGATCACTGTGTAAAAGGCGGAATGGTGATGTGCTGCCAGTGTTACCTGGGATGTGGCCAGTGCTTTTCTCCTACATTGAAGTATTCTGTATACACCGACAAGAGCTGTTAGAGATACGGAATACATTTTTGTTGTTTTCTAACCAATCACCCAGGCAGAACCGCTTAGCAAATTTATTTTAAAGACACATTCTTGGACAACGCTTACGATTGTAGAAGCCTAGCAAAGTGAAGTGATCGAATTACTCAACTTGGATGACAGCACAGAAAACAGGGGCAGGTATTCTCCCAGAGAAAAAAAAAAAAAAACCAACCAACCAGGGGCAAAAAAGGCCCTTGCCCCTGAAAGCAGACTTGGCTGTATCCAGACAGCAGGTATTTTGTGTCTCCCTGGGGTTTCCCTCCAGCAAGACTTGCTACTGTGAGCACACGCGTTTATGGCACTTGGCCATTTGCCACCACCGTGATCGGCAGCATCCCTGGGACGAAGGCAGCGGAGTCATCTCCAGCCCCTGTTTGCTTTGGTGGCAGAGCTCAGGTACGCTTTCATACACCGCCAGCTCAGAAAGAAGTCAGCCACAGTAAGGAAAAACAACGTGGGTGACTTAAAATGTCATGGCTTAAATAATAGCAAAGGCAGCCTGAAAGCTATGGGGTCCTTTGGTGAAACTGCCGTGTTTTTTATTTCTTCAAACAGTTACACCGGTAATTTCAGTTTGACTGTGCACCTCCTCGTGCTCCAGCCCGCAGGACAGAGACGCCAGCACCGTGCCGGTGCCAGTGGGAAACGCCGTGCTTGGCTGTCCCCGCAGGGAGGATGGGGCTGAGCGCTTTCGGAGCGCGTGCCGCAGGGATCCCTCGGCCAGCAGCACCCGTCCAGAGCTCGGAGCGGGTCTGAATGCTGGGCCAGCACGCTTCTGAAGGTGGGTATTAAAAACACAAGTGCGCTTCCTTCATCGAAGCTGCCGGCTGATCTGAAAAACTTCAGACCAGCAGCTGTGTAAGCGGTTTCACTATTGCTTTTTTTGGACTGTGGAGGCGAGTGTGAGTGGTGGACCAGGTTATTCCGTGATAAAGCAGACTAGAACACACTTAAAATTACAGTTACACCCCTGGATTAATGCAGGCAAACGAACACCTTAAAGGATACAATAACTGCGCCGTTCCGTCTGGAAGCATGGTAAGGAACTTCCCTCCATGTTTGTAGTATTTTTCCAACAATTCATTCTTCACTACCTAAGTTTGGAAAAGAAACGGTAAAATGGATGCAAGCAGTCCTGCACCAGCGGCCCTTTAAAGGCAGGCAGGTGCCGAG